CCCCCCCCCCCCCCCCCCCCCCAAATGCGGCGCCTGGGCCGCGGGGACTCCCCCCGACAATTTTTTCAATTGTCGGGAATGATAGAGCAGGGTCTGGGGATCCGAATGAGACCAAGAACGAGAGCCCCGGAGCCTCCAGAATATTTTTATTGATTTTTTGAAAAGATGACGAAATCCAAAAAAGAGTGAGTGAGTGCGAGCGAACGGAGCGGTGAGCGGCCCACGGGGGGTGCTGCGCCCTCGGCCTCGGGGTCCTTAACCCACCTCTCCGGTGAGTTTTTAGGCTCCCGGGGAGGACCCCAGCGCGGATGGCCATTCAGATTGACCCCAATTTCCTCGCCTTCGCTCTGATCGCTTAGTCTACTCCCCTCCCCCTCCCCCCCGACAAATTCAATATTTTTGTCGTTTCCCTAGATTATGCGGTTTCCCTTTTTTCCTCTTTTCCTGATACTATGGTCTCCCCCCACCCCGACCCTGTCCCACTCGTGTCATAGGTCTGTGAGGAGCAGAAGTGCGAAGAAGAGGTCTTTCCTCTGGCCATCAATTACCTGGACCGCTTCTTGGCCGGAGTCCCAACTCCGAAGACCCATCTGCAGCTTCTGGGGGCCGTGTGCATGTTCCTGGCTTCCAAGCTCAAAGAGACCATCCCGCTGACCGCTGAGAAGTTGTGCATTTACACGGACAACTCCGTCAAGCCTCAGGAGCTGCTGGTAATGTCTGCCTCCTTCCCCCCTGCCTTTCTGCTGTCCCCTATCCTAATAATACACTTGGATGCCGCTGCTCCCAGAACAGATCCTTAGGACCCCAAATTACCCATCACTGAAGTTTTCACACTTCTGGGAACTCTTTAACACGAGGCTCCTTGCGTTCCTACTGTGTGCTGGGCTCTGTGCAAAGTACCGAGACTCCACCCGTGAATAACATCCTCACTCAGGGAGATTTGTGTTGGTGCGATTCATTTGCAGCGTGTGTGCGCCCGCGTGCATATGCAGAGGAGGCATGAAACACAGTGATAAAATATTTTAATTAAATTCCAAATTTTCAATCGCTGAATTCCGAGACAGAAATCAACCTCTCACGTGACTCTCAAATACACGTGTGGCGTGTCTCCTAAGAACCAGGAGTTCAAAGGTAGGTCTTAGGCACCTCTTAGAGTCTCAAGATACCCGCACATAGTAGCTGTTCACTAAATACCAGCTCATTGGCTCTTGAGCAGAGTCAAATTGGGCCCTTTGTCAGAGGGTTGGGAGGCCTGAATTCCTGTCTCCGGTGGGGCTGTTACCTCTACATAGACACGGGGTCCTGTCTGGACTCTGGTTTTCTGCCCGCAAACCTTTTTCCCGCCCGATAGGACTCTGCCCCTGTAGCTTCATACTTAAGACGGCCATGTGGCAGCAGCGTGGCATTGGTTGGGTGGCTCCAGAGGCCCACCTTCAGTGATCTGCACAGCCTATCTCCCAACTGTTTGGAAAAGGGGCCCCCTCTTCCCACCCCTCCCCCTCCCCTCCCCCTC